ATCCACCTCAAAAGACAAATGAGGCCTCAGCTTATCAACCTCACCCAACAATCCATTCTGTAAATGCACCTCAGTGGTGAGAAAAAATAATTTCTTCAGCATGCTGAGAAGTTGGGAAGAAAGCTACATCACACCTAAATCCAATGCTGCTTGTGCCAATAATTTCACTAACTTTAATTCCTGTGTACAACCACCATTGTGCTCTCCCAGCTACATTGCATCCCACTCCACCAAAGCCTCCTAATTAAAATCCTTATCCACGTGTTCAGTCCCTTCACATCCTCACTATTTCTGCATTGTCCTCCAATTCGTCAAACATCCAACATGTCTGTTCCCTCACAACGCTGGCCTCTTATATATCACTGATTTTCACCCATTATCATTGACTGCCTTGCCTTCAGTTTCCAAGTCCTTAAAACGCTGGTATTTTATCCCAAATCATCATCAGCTCTCAATCTCTCTCCTTTACAACTGCGCTTTTAAATTTACTACTATATCTTTCTCGGACACTATACTTGTAATATCTCCTTCTTTGATTTGGTGACAAACTTTGGCTAATTGTTCTTTTTTTTTATAATCAGGATGTGAACATCACTGGCTGAGCCAACAATTATTCCCCAGCCCTTGGTACCCTTGGGAAGGATCAGAAATCACATGACACCATGTTATAGTCCAACAAGTTTATTTGAAAACACAAGCTATTGGAGCCTTGCTCCTTCTTCAAGTGTTAGTGAGAGACGTGGCATCAGACACAGAATTTATAAGTGAAAGATTAAAGGGTCACACCACTGATGAGGATGTATTAAACAAACCTAAGATGCTGTTAAATCTTTCATCAGTTAGAAGGTTTTAATTGATTAATATGTATATGTTAATCCCCGAATTTCCAAGTCACTGCCTGAGAGAATTAAAGGTTTTATCGCTGTCTCCCACACACACATGACTCCTCTTCTCTTGCTGTCCCCACTCACACAGACATGCACACACACACACTCTCTCTTTCTTTGCCCCCCACCTCTCTCTCTCTCTCATAGATACACACAGACACTCACTCACTCACTCTCTCTCACACACACATAAACTCACTCACTCACATTCTCTACTGCACACGTACATAAATTGACTCACTCACACGCTCTTCCACACACGCGCGCACACACATGCACACATACATGGACAAGCACACACATGTAAATCTGTGGAGTGAATTTGTATTTGCTGATACATTGTATTTTGTTCAAAAAGCACACAATTTATAGACAGTCTGTCAATGTGGCATTTTGTAAATTCCTACTTTAGAAATAAAAGCAGCCTGACTCCAAACCAAAAACACTGATTCTAAACAAGGCCTCGTGCCTAACATGCATTGTATAACCTAAAATGTCACCTCTTGTTTACACTGATAAAACCATTAGTTCTCTCAGGGCAGTGACTTGAAAGAAATTTGGTGACTTGCATTTACATATTAATTAGAACCTTGTAACTGATTAAAGACTTAACAGCATCTTAGGCTTGTTTAGTACAGCCTGATCAGTTGTTTGACCCTTTGATCTTTTCTGAGTTTGATGCCACCTCTCTGACTAACACCTGGAGAAGGGGCAAGGCTCCGAAAGCTTGTGTTTTCAAATAAACCTGTTGGACGGTAACCTGGTGTCATGTGATTTCTGACCTTGTCCACCCCAGTCCAACACTGGCACCTCCACATCATGGCCTTGGGAAGATGGTGGTGCACTGCCTTCTTGAACCACTGAAATCTATTTGATGTAGGTACATTCACAAAGCTGTTAGGGAGGGAGTTCCAGGAATTTGACCCAATGGCACTGAAGGCACAGTGATATATTTCCAAATCAGGATGGTGATTGGCTTGGAGGAGAACTTACAGATGGTAGTGCTCTCATGTAGTTGCTTCTCTTGTGCCTCTGTACAGTAGTGGGCGTGGGTTTGGAAACTGTTGTCTAGAGTTCCTGTGAAACACGTTGGAAGGTTTTGTTATGATAAATCATAATCAGGATCAATCTAATATCCTGAAGCAGTACAGCAATCCAGGTTATGGTTTTCTTTCTAACTCTCATGGGCATCATTAGGGTAAAGACAATACTTAAATGCAAGTTGTAGTACACTCAACATTCAATCAAGCATCTTTACCTAGGGTCTACGGAATACTTCAGCATTTGTCCAAAATGTATGTCAGCTTTCCAAGCTAATGGAAATGATGGCAATGGTGCATCTATAATAAAACAAAAAGTGCTAGAGAAACTCAGCAGCATCTGTGGAGAGAAAAAACTGAATTAACATTTGGAGTCCAATATGTCTTTTTTGGAACAAAAACAGAAATAGCTGGAAAAGCTCAGAAGGTCTGGCAGCATCTGTGAAGGAAAAATCAGAGTTAACGTTTTAGTTCTGGTGACCCTTCCTCAGAACTGATGGTAGCTGGGAAAATGTCAGTTTATATGCAAATAATAAGGAGGGGGATAGGGTAGGGAGTAAACAATAGGATAGAGCCAGAAGAGAGAGAAGAAAAGTTCGATAGACAAAGGAGTTGATAATGATCTGGCTAGGAGGGTGAATAGTTGTTAATGGGGACTGTTAGTGATTAACAACAGTGGGTGTATAAAGGCAAGCTATGGGATAAAAAGGTCTGGTGTGTAGAGTAGGGGGCTAGGACATGGGAGAGTTTAAGCCCTAAAATTATTGACCTCTATATTGATTCTGGAGGATTGCAGGGTCCCCAAGTGGAAAATGAGGTGTTGCCCTTCCAGCTTGTGTTGAGCTTCACTGGAACGCTGCAGCAAGCCAGAGATAGAAGAGTTGGCCAAGGAACAGGGTGGTGTGTTAAAGTGGCAGGCAACAACTAGCTCAGGGTCTTTTTTGCGAGTAGAATATAGGTGTTCTGCGAAGCAGTCACCCAGTCTACACTTTGTTTCCCCACTGTAAGGAATCCACATTGTGAGTAATGAATGCAACAAATGTCTTTTTTGAAACTCATGTTCAAAACATTACCTCTATTTCTCTCTCCATAGATGCTCCAAGACTTGCTGACATTTTCCAGCAATTACAGTTTTTATTTCAGGTCTCCAGCATCCACAATATTCTGCTTTTAAATTAATATTTTGGGTGGGACCTGTGTTCAAGTTCTGCCGCAGCAAATGGGAGAGTTTAAACTCAAATTAATTAAATCTGGAATTATCAAACAAGCCTCAGTAATTGAGACTATGAAACTATCATTGATCATTGTGTAAATCCATCTGGTTCACTGATGCCCTTTCAGGAAGCAAATCTACCGTCTTTACTTGGTCTAGCCTACACGTGACTCCAGACCCACAGCAACATGGCTGAGTCACAACTGGTCTGGCAGCAAAAACTTGCCTTGCTAGTCATACCCACTTTCCATTAAAGGCTGGAAACATTTTAATGAAATGAGAGCAAATGTGAATTTATTGGGCTATTTTATGTTAGAGACAGTGAATGAGCATTAATTTGTCATGCAACTCCAGCTCAAGCCAAATAATGTCAGATCCCTTCTTGTGAAGAAGGAAATTAATTTTTCAAATATGCTATATTTTCTGTGGCAACCTCCATGCTTAACTTATACTGCCCTAAACTTGCTGGTTTTCTGAACTTACTATTTTAGCATTTTAGTCATTACTTGACTGTAGTGTGAATTCAATTTAATTGACAGTTGAAATTAATCTCAGTGCAGCACAGCATCTGTTGTCCAAATTGAAACCTTTTTTCCTTATCCCTACTGTTGCATCTCCTTCCTACATTCTTCTCTCCTTTGTTTCCTTCTTAATCCAAAATTTTCCAGTGGAGGCAGTAGACAAATGATCTCCCAGTTCATAGGTGTAAATGATGTACTTCCCCACATTTCCAACAACCTACCTTCCACTGTGAGCAAGATAACAACTTTGGGGAATAACATTGGGTGGCATGATGGGGACCAAATAAGTGCCATGACTGTCCCCTGCCTTTTTTCTTGGAATTGCACTAGCAGGGTAAGGGAAGCAGTAGGGTAGTCCTTCAAACCAATGGGCCAATTAAGATCCTTATGTTTCCAACTAGTGACGAAGTGAGGGCTGCAGAGTGAGCTGAGGTAGCCTAGTTGGAATCCCATCTGTTTGGATATCCTGGGGATCCCCTCCCCCTGGACATAGTGTTCCCCAGCCCTTCTTGTTTCCTCCCACTGTTTAGCAGGCCCAGGCAGAACCTGCGCCTTCACTTAGCTTTCCAGTTCCAGTGACTGTTGTTCAGCTGCTCTCAAAGGGAGCCATCATCTCACATGAGGGTAGAAATCTTGTCCTGAACCAAGTAACAGTCCAATTTCTGTTCAAGAGACTGGAGCTTCCAGACAGGCCTTGGGCCAGAGCAGCTACCTCTGCCCTCGTTTCAGATTCTGCCCAATAATTAACATTCTTTTCTCCAGATCAGAAACTCCTTTATTGGATTTATTAATGATGATCTTCATATTTGTGACACCTAGTTTTTGACATTTTCTTATGTTTACCTGAATTGAACCCTTTCATGGACATGAACTTCTCTAATGCATCATCCCTCAACCTTTGTTGCAATAAGCATTAGCCACAGCTGAATAGATTTACATAAATTAACAAACTGTGGTTGTGGTGTTAATAGTAGCTCAGTGGACAGCACTATCACATTGGATTTGGAAGTTTGTGGGAAGCCAAACCCTAGAGACTCGAGCACGTGGATTATCATTTCAGTGCAGTGCTGAGGGAGTGCCGTACTTGTCGAATGAGTTGTTACACTGAGGTCCCATCTGCCTCTTCAAGTGGATGACAAATCCCCTAAGGCACTACATGAAGAAGTGTCAGAACTGTTGGCATGGGGAAGGTGGAAGGCAAATGTGTGGAGGCCCTAGTTCAGGAGAGCAGATAGTATGAGCTGGAGTTTTAAAGGTTACAAAGATAGGAGGTAAGGACAAGACCGTTATAATGATCATTCCTCTTTCTGGTTATTAACTCAAGTTTATTTTATGATAGTTTTCCCAGCTGGCATTCTTCAACCACCTTTCTTTGAAAAAGGACAGCCAAGTGCATTGAACTTTGGTGCTATTGGCATGGTCATTGGCCATGAAATCACTCACGGATTCGATGACAATGGTGAGACCAACCAATTAGTTCTAAGCTTAAGAGCTTGTGGGTTTTGGCGCCGAGCTGGGATTCTACCAAACTAACCTGTATTCCTGATGTAGGTCGTAACTTTGACAAGGAAGGAAACCTCATGGACTGGTGGACTAAGCAATCAGCCAGGAATTTCAAAGACCTCTCACAATGCATGGTGTACGAATATGGCAACTTTTCATGGGATCTGGCAGGTGGACAACATGTAAGTCAACAAGTTAGAAACCTTTGTTACATTTATTTTTGTTTATATAGATTTATTCTGTACGCAGAAAAGGCCTTTAGACTCAACAAGGTTTTCCCAGCATTTATCCTCCACTCAAAGCTTCTTCCATCTTTCATCATTTAACTCTCTCAGTATAATACTCTATTCTGTTTTCATTTGTATGCTTTTACTTAAATGCAATGAAACCTATAATTAAATTAATCTGTTGTTTTCTTCACCGGTAATAGCGAGGTCCATATTCTCAGCACGCTTTTAATGCAGAAGTTTCTTCTGAATTTTTGTTGGCGATCTTCTATTGATGGGCTGTAGCTGTTCTCTTCCCACAAGCTAAAACCTTCTGTATGTGTTGACTCTTATCAGAACTTCCATAATTAGAAAAACCATAATCCTTGTAAACCAGTGTTTGTAATTCCCCAGAGTTTCTGTACCCCTTTGATGCAGTCAAAAATCACACAACACCATAGTCCAACAGGTTTATTTAAAAATGCAAGCTTTCATAGCTCAGCTCCTTCCTAAGGCATAGTGTGAGACAGAGGTTATAAGACACAGAATGTATAAGCAGAAAACCCTAAAACTGGCCGCCTCTTGTTGAATCATTAATCAGTTAGGATAGAGACTTCTGATTAAAATGCAAAATCCAGATTATTCTCAAGTCATTGTCACAAGATAATTAAAGGTTTTATCAATGTGTATAAGAGGTGACATGTCAGGTCAGACAATGCATTTTAGGTGTGAGGTCTTGCTTAGAATCTGTCTAGGTTTTAAACTGTGGTCAGGTTTTATTCTTTTGAGCAAAACAGAATGTATCTGCAACTACACAAACATCTTGGATGAAATAGTGCGCTCGTGTGTGTGTGTGTGAGAGAGAGAGAGAGGGATGCTCTGTATAAGTGCGCGAGTGTGTGTGTGTGAATATATAGTGTGGTGGGGTCACCTATAGTGTGACCAAGACCACAATTGCGGTCTTTCTCATGGACATGGAACTTCGCTATAAGCCTCTGCTCACCGATTTTGCGTTGTTGTGTATCACGAAGTCCACCTTGGACAACACTTGTCCGAAGATCGGAGGCTGAATCTCCTTGCCCCCTGAAGTGTTCCCCCACTGGGAGGGAACATCCCTGTCTGGTGATCATTGTGTGGTGTCTATTCATCCGTTGTTGTAGCGTCTGCATAGTCTCGCCAATATACCATGCCTCGGGGCATCCTTGCCTGCAGTTTATGAGATAGACAACATTGGCCAAGTCACTTTGATGCACTATATGTTGCACTGGAACAGGATGTCAGTGCTACTGTGCCTTCAGTAAATGCTCATTCCACATTTTCCTATCCTGCTCTCCATTGCACTTAGTTGGCGCTGTGACCATCTCACTGTCACCATTGGCTCCCTGTCATGCATTGTTCTGCTCCCTTGATCATGGGGAGTGTTAAACAGCATGAGAGATCAGAGCAGTGAGTGGGAGATGGGAGTGGTGAAGTGAGCAAATCATAATCCCAGGATCTTTAGCTGGTGTTCTGGGGATCAATCTCCCATGAAAGCTACAATCCTTAACTGCACTTTAGACTAGCAGAGTGGGATCACATTTAAAACTCTGCACATCAAAGAAACATTAGAAAAGGATGCATTTTATTGTTGGCGCTCCTGTTAAAATATTTTGGCGTTGCTCAATATTCATTGCTCATATTCTTTGATGCAAGCAGTTCCTGCAGCATCTCTGGTAGTAGCTTCCCATGCACTATGATAAGTGTATAGTCTATAATCACAGTGGCAGCAAACATAGCCTTTTTATAATACAATAAGCAGAAATTTACTTGGTCAGCCAAGTCTTGACTGATCAAGGTCAATACAAAATCAGCAATTGCTGGAGAAATTCAGCAGATCTGGAAAGATCTGTGGAGAGAGAACTCCTGTTTAAGCTTTCTTTTTGTGTGTTTCAGATCTCTGGTATCCACATTTCTATGCTTTATTTTAAGGTTCGATACAAATTTTGTACTTTTCAATTCATTTGGATTAATAACTGGCAATTCTGATTAAACAAGGAAGGTTAAGTAAGGCAAGTGAGAACTAATAGCAGCGACTCTTAAGGGACGGCTCATTCCAAATAAAGGTGTTAGCAACACAATAGATCACGTGCTTGCGGTAATGGAACAGAGTCATGTGAACTGCAGGTTTCATAACTTTGCTGTATTGCATAAATTATTTCATCCAAGATGTTTGTGTAGTTGCAGATACATTCTGTTTTGCTCAAAAAAAAACTGACCCCAGTTTAAAACATAGACAGATTCTAAGCAAGACCTCACACCATATAAGAGATGAGCTGTTGGAAGACAAAAATGGTGCCACCTGCTGAACTCTGTCTGGTCATTTTCCTGAAAACTGCATATTCCTTCTCTTCTCCCAAACCTCTGGTTCATCTCCTGACACTTATTGTCTAACACTCATTGGCATGGCCATCTTTATTGAGGTTCTATAGAACAGTTAGCCACATTGAAAGTATATTTTAACAAGAAAGTGTAGCCATTAAAGAAATGGAGTTGGTGAATAAGATATATAGAAATTGCAAATGCAAACAGGCGATTTGGTGCAGCTACCTTCCTAAGCAAAAATTCTAATCACACTTACCCATCTTCTTAAACCCTTAACCCTTGTTTTTCGCTAACCTCTCCAGCTTAATCACAAATGTTAACATAAAGCAAGAATTTCCTTCAGAGCTATGACTTCACCAGATATATAGCTAAATGGGAGAAGCTGTGTGCAAATTCCCAGCCTACCATTTCTACTTGGGCTACTAATCCAGGAAATGAATTTCATAACGGCTGATTCCACCTCCCTAACAACCATTGTTTCACAGTGAGAAGATCTGTAGTGGTATGAAAAATCACAAAAGCCAAAATTGAACATTCTTGAATGCCACTGCATTTGCTCATTTAATCTATGTTATGTTGTTGCTTTTCAAATTGCAGCTCAGTGGCATTAATACACTAGGAGAGAACATTGCAGATAATGGAGGCATCAGACAAGCCTACAGGGTGAGTCAACTTATGAATAACAGCAAAACTTACATTTACAGTGTATGACTGAAAAAAAATCCACATATTATCAAAGCTTTCCATTTTGCACTCAACAGGACTATTCAGATGAATGGCAACCCAACGGGAAAATCAACATGTATACTGAATGAGAAAAGAATGCAGATTGGTGGACAGGTGGACTCTGAGTAGTAGAGGTGTTGCCGTGGCGAATTAATTAATAAAAGATGATCAAACAATAATAGCTAGGGTTTGCTTAAGTTTTAAATAAGCGAGATTGACACTGGTAAGGACATTGCCTTGAGAAATTAAAATACACTCTCCAAGGCAATGTCTCTGCATTTCAGAATTCACTTGACAACGATTCAATAGCCTTCTCTCATACAGTATAAATATTGAGATTTTTTCAAATTATCCTGATGAATGAGGGATGAAAAACTTCAACAAGATGTGTCTTTTTCAACAATACTCAGGTTTAGGACTACCAAGCAACTATTTACAGTGTCTTTAATATAGTCAAACCTCCTGAGGGACTTCACAATTGGCTGCAAGCTATATAAAGAGATACCAGGAGGTGGGATCAAAAGTAGATTTTAAAGAGTGTATTTAAAGCGACGAGACAGATGAAGATATTCGTGTTGAATTTGAATGTGAGTCTTTGGGTTGTAAATACATTTCCCTTCAAGTGGTTCTCTTCAGTGTGTGAGCGTTGCTAAACATGTAATGTATTTCATTTAATGTGGAAATTGAAACAGTTGTCAGGTTTGTGCATTGGTGTCACTTTGCAATCACTTGGCTGGTTAACAGTGCAGATACTGGAACTGGAACCCTATCCAGTGTTGCAGTCAGCTGATGGAATTGCTATTTAGCACGACAGTTTGTGACATGATAGAGACTGAGCAGTACCAATCTGAAGAAGAAAAGTGGATTCATTTTACACATTGGGCTGCAGGGAGTAATTGGGTGGCCCATATACCTTTGGCTTTGTTGAGGCTTCTATGGTCAAGTAATGGTCTCTGAAGGGCCTTAACCAGCTCCTGCTGGATTTTTACCCAAGCCTGGGCAAAACCCATGTCCTTCCAAGCACTTCCTTATCAGAAACCCAGCAGTTGCTGTTGAGTAAACAAGTGTTGGGCAGGTACACCTTCTTTGCAGGCGCTTTCTCTCCTGCACCCAACAAAGATACTCCCATTTCCCCTCCGCAGCCATCATCCCCGAGATCCTTATTGAACATGCTCCCCACCCCTTAATCAAATTCTGTCCTCTTGAACCTGTCCTCACCCACCCCCTCACCCTAATTTCCCCACTCACTGAGACCCCTGGCCCCAGATTTGTGGGTGGGCCTGCCTGTAATCCCAGCAGTGACCGCTGCCTCTGGCTAGTGCTGCGGTGTCAATGAAGCTGCTGGCCATCCAGTTTGAGGGGGGCTTCATAGAATCATAGAATCCCTACAGTGTGGGAGCAGGCCATTCGGCCTACTGAGTCTATACCGACCCACCAAAAAGTGGACGACTCCCAATTAAGACAACAAGGTGCAGGGCTGGATGAACACAGCAGGCCAAGCAGCATCATAGGAGCAGAGAGGCTGACGTTTCGGGCCTAGACCCTTCATCAGAAAAGGGGGAGGGGAAGGGGGTTTTGAAATAAATAGGGAGAGAGTGGGAGGCGGATAGAAGAGGGATAGAGGAGAGGATAGGTGGAGAGGAAACAAACAGGTCGAAGAGGCGGGGATGGGGCCAGGAAAGGTGAGTGTAGGTAGGGAGTTAGGAAGGGGATAGGTCAGTCCAGGGAGGACGGACAGGTCAAGGGGGCGGGATGAGGTTGGTCGGTAGGAGATGGAGGTGCGGCTTGAGGTGGGAGGAGGGGATAGGTGGGAGGAAGAACAGGTTAGGGAGGCAGGGACGAGTTGGACTGGTTTTGGGATGCGGTGGGGGGAGGGGAGATTTTGAAACTTGTGAAATCCACATTGATACCATTGGGCTGCAGGGTTCCCAAGCGGAATATGAGTTGCTGTTCCTGCTCCCGCCCCCTTGACCTGTCCGTCCTCCCTGGACTGACCTATCCCCTTCCTAACTCCCTACCTACACTCACCCTTCCTGGCCCCATCCCCGCCTCTTCGACCTGTTTGTTTCCTCTCCACCTATCCTCTCCTCTATCCCTCTTCTATCCGCCTCCCACTCTCTCCCTATTTATTTCAAAACCCCCTTCCCCTCCCCCTTTTCTGATGAAGGGTCTAGGCCCGAAACGTCAGCCTCTCTGCTCCTATGATGCTGCTTGGCCTGCTGTGTTCATCCAGCCCTGCACCTTGTTGTCTCGGATTCTCCAGCATCTGCAGTTCCTACTATCTCTGACTCCCAATTAAAGCTGCTTCAGACTTCAAATTCCTGCAAGATTATGAGGGCAGCAGGGGTCAATCATTTTGCTGAGAGAGAGGTCAGGGGATTGTGACATCCTGTAAAATCCAGCCATGTGTTTGAGATAATGAAATAGGAACTTAACTTGTGTTTCTTGTAGAACACTTATTGGACTAAATATTGCTGGGATAATAATAAGGTGTTAATGACCAAGCTGTTATTAAAGTATGAATCAGCCAGCAAGTTCAGGGCGTTAAGTGATATGCTGTATCCTGCAATTCTCTGGAATTTGCTGATTGATTGATGCTGCTGCACTGTTTGATTTGTACCAATGGCCTTCTGACATTTGCCCCTCCGGTATCTTCAAGAACTTGTTGGATTAGCACTTTAATTGCCCGTTAAACTCTCTGCAGAAATGTAAGACTTGGCAGTAATCATGTAAGTAACATTTTAGCAACATGATTATTGTTAATGATTGTTAAGGTTGATAGAGCCTCTGCTAATCGCTGGCCTTGCCGGTTTCTTCACCCACAATTGGCCAATTGCCACCATGTAGGCTTTGTTTCCTGTAGATATTGAAGCAACTAACTTGGCAGGGAGTACACTTCAGGAAATTGTGTGCACACAGCTCCTCACTTTTCTCCCAATAAAATGAATGAATAACAACATGAATCAGCTCAATATCTCCTCAGGATGTTTGGACAGTTTCTAACGCATGGTTAACAAGCAGAAGTGTTGGTAAGCAGCTGAAAGAGAAGAAGATAAGTTAAAGCTTCGAGTACTTTATCAGAGGGATGCACCTGAGGCTTTGACCTATTTCTCTCGCCATCCTTCCTGCATTCCTTCCAAGTAAATCTGAGTAATCCAGCAGTTTCTAATCTGCCACATTGATTGTATATTTACAGGCTTATCAATTACATGTGAAGAAAAGTGGGAAGGATAGCCTACTCCCTGGGATCGACCTGAATGACAATCAGCTCTTCTTCCTGAACTTTGCACAGGTCAGGCCAGCTATTTTGTACTTTGTTTTGTTTTCAAGCTCTCTCTGTAGAATTGAACATCAACTGGGCCAACTTGTAGTACTTGTGCCAAGATGCCAGTTGATAGGCCATGTGTCTGCCCATTTTATCAGTCCGCCCACCTTCTCCTGAGGCTGTTGTCAACCTGCTCATTGTTTACTCAATTTCCAAATCTCATGTTGTTTGCAGACTTTGAAATTATACTGTCTTACTGAGCCCATGTCAAGGCTATTGAAGTATATCAGAGTGAGCAGTGCACATAATCTCCACTCTGGGAAACATTGCACCCATGTATTCAACCTGACAAAGAATGGTTCAGTCTTACTTTCTGATTTCTATCCCTTAGTCAATTTTCTGTCCATGACACTCCCTTTAGTTCCATGAGCCCATATAAGACCCTGTAAAATGGAAATTGTAACTGCATTAAGAGTTGGGCTAAGGGAATAGTGTGTGCAGCAACTCAGACAAGCCCGCTTTTAAATTAGACTGATGGGTGGTAGGAACTTGATGCAGCTCCCCAGGGTCTCATCCAGTGAACTGGATTTTTGTATTAAATTTGGATAGCATCAGCTCATAGGTTTGTCCTTGGAATTCAGGAAGGGACTTTTTTTATTAGAAAGTGAGTGAAACGTAAATGCCTAAGGAAGTCCATAGAGCACTCCTTTTCCAACCATCCACAAGGAGGGTTTGCAGTTTATAATGTAAAAGTTTTACACTCTTGGCAACAACAAGAGATCACCAAGGATTGCGAAGTGGATGACTGACAGGTGGTCAAAAAGGACCCTTTTATCAGCTTAAGTCTCATAATTTACCTAAAAGTGAGGCCCACTTTCCTTTCTCAGGCATCAGTTGGAATGTGCAAAAAATGAGCTCCAAAATTTAGCATTAGGATCAATGCCTTCCTAGCTTGAGTAGAGGCCGTCTCATTGCTAAATTGGTGTTTTTGGCAGATATTTTGCATGAATTTTATGCATGCCAATTTCTTGCTGTATGAGATTTAAATCCTTTAAAGTGCTTTTGGAATTAACTGGTTAAATTAGTTCTGCAAATAAGTTATGAGAGAGTGAAAGGCCAAGTATTTCCCTCTGAACACTTTTGGGATTTGTTCTGTCTGACTAAGCACCTCAAATCACTGATGTGTAGTTGACCTCAACAGGAATAATTAAGTTCCCTTGCGTGATGAGGGGACACATTTAGAATCTGCCTCAGCTGTGAAGCTCCCAAAACTGTTTGGTTTTGAACAAGGTAACAGAGAGCAATAAGATCACAAATGTGATAATTGAGAGGAAGGAAACACTTAATTATTCAATTAATTCTTGGGAAATAGGTTTGTTGTGTAGTATTTTAAACCAAGTCAATGCAGGGTCTTTGATTCAGAGGTCACACAACCTTTGTTTTATATCGATGAGAAAATAGTCTCGACTGGAAAGTCAGTAGACCTCTTCAACAATAGTTTCAAGCAATTTATTTAAGATTACACAAAAACAGTGCCTCTCACAATATATAATTGAAAAGGGACTGGAATTTAGGGTTATACATCAATGGCATAGGATAAGCACCATTAAGTAATTTAATTAAGAAATAGAGAAAATGTGAGGCTATGCACTTTGGTAGGAAGAATAGAGACATGGGCTATTTTTTAAATGAGGAAAGGCTTCAGAAATCAGAAGCACAAAGGGACTTAGAAGTCAATTTCAGGATTCTCTTAAAGTTAACATGCAGGCTGTCTTGGCACTTAGGAAAGCAAATGCAATGTTCGTATTCATTTTGAGAGGGCTAGAATATAAGAGCAGAGATCTACCCCTGAGAGTGTATAATGCTGTGAAATATTGTCAGCATTTTGGGGCCCATACCTAAAGAAGGATGTGCTGGCCTTGGAGCGGATCCAAAGGTGGTTTACAAGAATGACCCTGAGAATGAAGATCTTGTCACTTGAGGAGTGGTTAAGGACTCTGAGTCTGTACTCGATGGAGTTTAGAAGGACAAGAAGGGATTTCATTGAAACTTGCAGAATACTGAGAGGCCTGGATAGAGAGTGGACATGGAGAAGTTGTTTCCACTAGTAGGAGAGACTAGGCCCTGATGGCACAGCTTCACAGTGAAAGGGTGATCATTTAGAACTGAGATGAGAAGGAATTTCTCCAGCCAGAGGGTGGCTAATCTGTGGAACTCATTGCTGCAGAAGTCTCTGGAGTTCAGGTCATTGATCACAGGAGATCAAAGGTTACAGAAAGAAGGCAGGAGAATGGGGTTGAGAAACATATCAGCTATGATGGGCTGAATGGCCTAATTCTACTTGTATATCATTTGGTCTTATAGACCTATAAAGATCAGCTTGGGAGCCAGGGATACCCCTGATGTACTTATGTAGGTATGTTTTGTCTGGTTAGCACGCAAAACAATATTTTTCAGTGTATCTTGGTATTTGCGATAATATCAAATCAGATGAAATCAAATCACTTTGATTAAATGTATTATTTGTAGTGGTAGAAATAATGTCATCACTGAATTTCTGTCCAGAATAAAATTGCAAGATCAAAGTGGGTGCTAAGGAATAATAATCCATCAGGTTTCCCTTAGGAGATGCGTTTTTGATAACGTTTACTGGAGCCAACCATGTGCCTCACACACCTGCATTGAGGTTGCTGCTTTTTTGCACTTCGTAGTCTTAGCATCCAAGAATCTTTTACCCCCATAATTTCTATCTAGCTCAAAAGCCCCATTTTATGTGTCGCTGGTCTCACTGACATTTGGTGTCCATCCCCAGTTTCCCCAAAAAGTCAAAGGGTGGGTTTTCATGCTTCACAGTAGTGAAGGTACTGTTACGCAGGGAGTTACAAGATTTTGGCCTTGTAACTTTGAAGGGATATGTCTAATATGCCCAATTAGTTAAGAAACAACATTGAAAACATTTGTACATACGATTAAGAATCCATTTTGTAATTATCACATGCATTTAAATCCTGCGTTATAATTCTTGTCGGGATTTAAATTATCTTCATTGTCCTCTGAAATGTCAATATAAATACTAGAATTGATTTACTCATTGCTCTCAGAGCTCGCATTTTTCATGAAGCTGCAGAACTAATTTTTAATCACTATTCATTACCTTTCAAGAGATTTCAGACATGCAATTAAGGATTAAATAGTTCTCTATTTTCATAATAAGGCCATAATGAAGCCAAGTCTCACTGTGCAGGACACCACCAAGGTTAAAAAGAATAAACAAGAACGAGAGGGTGAGATGAAGAGACTTCCTGCACAAGTTATATCCTGAAATGGACTAATTGGTTATCTTTTGGAAAGAACCAGTACAGGCTTATTAGACTGAACATCCTCCAAATACAAAGAGAAGATAAAAACATGATATAACGGTTAAATCACAAAAACTAAACTATAACCACTTTGTATTTGTATAGCAAAAATAACATGCTAAAACATCCTCAAGTGCTTAATAAAGATCTGCCAATGAATGTTAGTCTCAGTAATGGTGGCCATGAATTGTTGTAAAAACCCATTTGATTCATAACTGTCCTTGAAGGAAGGAAATCTGCTATCCATACCTTGTCTGGCCTACACCAACATATTCCTGTGTTATTTTGTCCAGTGTGGCACCTTTGCCTGATTTATCATGAAAACTGGTATGGGGGGCGTAATATACTTTAGCCTGTGACAGATGACATTGTTTCAACCAACCTCCTATTTAAGGTACGTGGTTAGTTGGTACAATAGAGTCATCCCTGCACAAAATGGATAGTGGAAAGGATAGTATTGGGAATAAGTTATTTGGTTCTCAAGCCTGTTCGGTCATTCAGTAAGTGTATGTTAACACAATCAACCTGCCTTGGCTCCATATCCCTTCATATCTTTGACTAACTTAACTTTGTTGATCTCAATTTTAAGATTGTTAATTGAGTCAGCCTCAGCTGCTATTTTGTGGGTGTGAGTTCCACACATCTACCATCCTCTTCAGAACTTATCTCCTGAATGAAGTGGGTCTGATTTTGAATGGTAATTTCATTGATCAATATCATTAAGCAGTCGTCTTCCGGTGAGGCAACAACACCAAGTAATAACCCTTCCCGTATCCCTTCAAAATTCATAAAGGTCCATCTTGGGAAGTATTTGCACAGCAGGTTGGCAAGCTTTGAAATGCACTGACTGGAAGGATGGTGGAAGAGATTCAATTAGCAGAATTAAAGAGACGTTTCATATCAAAGCTTGGATGATAATGGGGAAAACCAGGATGGTGGGCGGGGTTATTGAATAACTTTTTCAAACAGCTAGCAGATAAACAAATGGCCTCCCTTTGATCTAAATAATTCTTTTCAATGATTAGAAAGTAATAAGAATATACCCAAATAAGAAGATGCTTGTGATGGAACAGTAATGTGACTAATTGCAAGTAATGGTCATATCATTCCCTCTGGACCAGAGCTCTGGGTTCAATTCCCCCCTGCTGTATAAGTGTGTCATAACAGTTCGGTTCAAAGCCATAATTTGAGTAGCTTGAAATTTTATAAGATATTGTGCTGTAATTATCACTAAAGTAGTTATTAAAAACTAAACAGTAATGACTGTAATTCATTGCCTTATCAGGTGTGGTGTGGAATATACAGACCGGAGTATGCTGTCAACTCCATTAAGACTGATGTGCACAGTCCAGGCAAATTCAGGTGAGGGCTTTTACTGTTTAGCATGAAATCTGACTTGTAAGTTTTCCTCATTAAAGAAACTCCTTAACTAATCCAACATAGTACAGACTGACCTACCTTCCAACCTCCATGACCCATGAGCTCATATTAAACTATGCTTTCCGATCACATTAAAAACATTCAGCATTCATCCCTTTCTTGCTAAATTTCATTAGCTCTCAGTATGCCAACATTTCAAATTTATAATTCTAATCCTTTAAATCCTTCAAAGACTGTACTCCTTTTGATCTCTGTGAGCTCCTCCAGCACTACAACCTGTTGATATCTCTGAGTGCCTCCAATTGTGGCCTTTTGTGTATCCCAGTTTTCTTGACCTGCTAATGGGAAGTGTGACAACAGCTCTCTCAGCTCTATGTCTCCAACTATCTCCCTAAATTTCTCTGTCTCACTAACATTTGTTTTGTTTTGCAAATATCTGCTGATTGGCTATGAGCTAATACTCCATGATTGATGCGAAACAAAGTATAAGAACGCACGTGAGTCGACCATACAACCATGCAACTGGTTGGAGTAATACTGTAAGCAAAGGAAGACGTTTGAGGTCAATCATATCAGCTCCAGATATCGCTGTCGGAGTTCCTCGGGGTAGTGTCATAGGCCCATCCACTTTCAGCTGCTCCACCAATGACCTTCCCACCATCTTGAGATCAGAAATGGGGATGTCACTGATGATTGCACAATGTTCAGCACCATACACATCCCAGGTATTGAAATAGCCCATATCTGTATGCAGCAAGACCCAGATGACATTCAAGCTTTCACTGAGAAATGAAGGGTAACAGTCTTTACCACACAAGTACTAGGCAATGACCATTTCCAACTAGATAGAATCTAACTATTTTCCCATGACACTCAATGACATTTCCATCATTGAATCTCCAACGTTTTTGGGCTATCACTGACCAAAATCCTAACTGGAGAAACCAAATAAATATTGCAGCTGTAAGGGCAGATCAGAGGTTGGGAACTCCATCGCAATTGTCTCAACTCCTGACTCCCCAAAGCCCTACCACAAGGGAAACTTCAGGAGTATGATAGAACACTCTCCACCTATCTGTATGAGTGTGGCTCTCTCAACACTCAACACAATCCAGAGCAGCAAAGCAGCCCACTTGGTCAGAGCCCCTTCCACCATATTTAATATCCAACCCCTCCACTACCAAAGTACAATGGCAGCAGCATGTACTATTTGCAAGATATACTGCAGCAATTCACCAAGGCTTCTTCAACATCACCTTCCAAACTCATGGCCTCTGGCACCTGGAAGCATCAAAGCAATAGATACAGGAGAATACCTACAAAGGATAATGTTTTTCATTTTTGGATCATAAAGTAGAATGGAAGTCAGAAACTGCTATAAAGTGCCATAACAGGTGACTTTTGCAACTTGAAAAATTCAAGTGGGCAGTGTGGTGGCTCAGTGGTTAGCATTGCTGCCTCACAATGCCAGGGACCCGCGTTTGATTCCAGCCTCGGGTGACTGGAGTTTGCACGTTCTCCCCGTGTCTGCGTGGGTTTCCTTCGGGGGCTCCAGTTTCTTCCCATTGCCCAAAGATGTGCAGGTTAGGCGGATTGGCCATGCTAAATTGCCCGTGGTGTCTAGGGTGGGAAATGCAGTGATAGGGTAGGGAGTGGGTCTGGGTGGGATGCTCTTCAGAGTGTCGGTGTGGACTTGATGGGCCAAATAGGCTGTAGGAATGCTATGATTCTATGAAGTGCTGTCCATTTTTAGTTGTGCAAGACAATGTTTTTTAAAGTAGTGAGAGAGTTACTTTGAGATGGAGTGGCACCAGAAGTTTTTGACTTGAAGAAAAACTGCCTGATGACAGCCCTTGGCTTGGTCCAACTAGAGTTTATTACAGATCTATAAGTACAGAGCAACAGAGACCTTCAGAGCAGACAAACTGCAAACATTCCTCTCTCCCACCTCTCGGGGTGAGTGAAAAGGCAGAAAAAGAAAGGAAATTTAAAAGAAAGAATTTTAATACAAGGTAAGGCCTATGTCCGCTGAATCACCTATTGAAGTGAAGAATGACCACTACTTCATAGACAACAGCCTGTCATTATTCCTAAAATCAAAAGGTAATATGAGAGACACTTTAACCCACCCTTGATATCTTCAGAATTTTGTTTTTCCCTGCATAAAGTTTTCAACCCATAATATTTGTGTCAAATCTTTTCTCTTTCTTTTTCTCTGTTTTATTCATGAATGAGTGTTTGACCATTTAGGGGGGAGGGTTTTAAAGGGGTATAGTTTTGGTTGCATAGAAGCAGCTTTGTAATCGTCAGTCATAGAACATTTAACAGTACAGGGTAGGAACAGGGTCTTCGGCCCACCATGTCTGTACTGACCATGATGCCATTCTAAACCAAACCCATGTGTCTGCACATGATCCATTTCCCCTATTCTCTGCCTGTTTATGTGTCTGTATAAATACCTCTTAAACATTGCTATTGTATCTGCTTCATATCAGCACCTTGTTCTAGGCACCTATCACTCTCTGGTCAAATACCTGCTTCATACATTTCCTTTAAACTTTCCCCCCTGTCACCTTAAACCTATGCCCCCTAGTATTTGACATTTCCACCCTGGGAAAACCACTCCAATGATCCACAATATTCATACCTCTCATAATTTTATATACATCTCCTGGTGGCCCCCACACACACACCACCACCAGCTCCCCGCCCCGCCCCCGCCACCAAGCCTCCGATGCCCTGGTGAAAATAATCCAAATGTGTCCAATCTGTCATCATACCAAATACACTCCGATCCGGGCAACATCCTGATAAACCTGTTTTGCACCCTTTCCAAAGCCGCCACATCCTTCCTCTAGTGTGGCAACAAGAACTACACACAATACTTCAAATGTGGCCTAAATAAAGTTTTATACAGCTGCAACATAACTTGCTAACTTTTATACTCTATGGCACAACCAATGAAGGCAAGCATACCATACGCTTCCTTTACCACCTTATCCACTTGTCTTGACACTTTCAGGAAGCTATAGACTTGCACCCCAAGATCCCTCTTTATATTAATGCTCCTGAGGGTCCTGCCATTTGTTGTATATTTCCCTCGTGCATCTCATCTCCCAAAATGCATCATCTCATCCTTATCCAGTTTCAACTCTATCTGCCAGTTTTCCACCCAACTTTCCAACCAATCTATATCCTGCTTTATTGTTTGGTAACCTTCCTCACTATCCACAACACCATCAATTTTTGTGCCGTCTGCAAACTTACTAATCAGACCACCTACATTTTCATCCAAGTCATTTTTATATATTATGAAAAGCAGAGGTCCAAACACTGATCCTTGTGTAACATCACTGGTTACTGACTTCCAATCAGAAAAACACCCCTCTGTAATTACCCACTGTCTTTAATGACCAAGCCAATTTTGTATTTAACTTAGCAACACACCATGGATCCCATGCGACGTATTCTTCTGGACCAGCCTACCATGAGGGATTTATTCTCCAGTCTTCTGGGGCCTCACCAGTAGCTAAAGAGGATTTGAGATCGCTGTTGTGTCCCTAGCAATATCTTCCCTTGCCTCCCTCGGGATCCTAGGATAGATCCCATCAAGCCCTGGGGATTTATCCACCTTAATGTTTTTCAAGATACCTAACACCACCTTCTTCTTAATATAATATGCCCTAGGATATCAACATACCCCCTCCTTAATCTTGCCATCATCCATGTCATTCTGCTTGGTGAATACTGATACGAAGTACTCATTAGGACCTCACCCACTTCCTGTGGCTCCACACAGAAACTGCCCCCTTTGACCTTGAGTGGGCTACCATTTTCCTAGCTACCATCATTTCTTTCTTTTCTCTGTCTCTCTTGTTAAAGTTAAGTGAATTTATTGGAAATGAAGTCACTTTCTGGTGGTGATGAAACCTCACATGAATTTGCATTTGTCCTGAATAGCAGGGAGTCAGACAAACTAGTCATCTTTTGTGGTAATTGCAGATGTGTGATGGTCTGTGAAACAGTGGGCATATTTATCTCCACAGTTAAGTCGTGACACATCACCACCTGGAAGTTGCCCACATCATCCTGACTTTGAAATAAATTGCAGTTTCTTCTCTGTCACTGAGTTAAAATCCTGGAACTTACAATTGAATGGCACAATAGGTATATCTACAACATCAGGACTATAATGTTTCAAAATTACAGCTTATGACTACTTCCCAAGAGCCAGTAGGGATGGGCAACAAATACTGGAACGCATACATCCTATGAAAGAGTAATTTAAATCCAAATCATTGTTGATCTGTATCTTAATTCTATCTGCCTGCCTTTATCCGGTAATCCTTCATATCCTTCCCTAACAAAACATCTAAGTTTCAGTTTTGAAATTTTCAATGAGCCACGCAGTCTCAAAATCAGCTTGTGCAGTGTTCTGCTGTATTCTACCTTCATATGAAGAGTGGCTCCTGATGTTACTCCTCTATAGTCAAGCTCTAACATAAAAAGTAATGTTGCCTGACCCCTGCTTGTTCTGGAGTCATCCACCAGAAGAAATATTTAGTTTTATCTACCAATATAAAACCCTTCAATCATCGCAAACAACTCAGTTGAATCACTCCTTCAGCTTCTGGATTCATATGAATATAAATCTAAAGCTGTCCTCATTATTTTTTAATCCCTATTATTGTTTTGGGGAGAGGATCCCTGTCTCTGTGCCAGAAGCTCCAGTTTCAAGTATCACTCCAGAACCTGATAGTCAAGGAAGTTATACTCATAACATGGTCAAATAACTGATAAATCCTTCCAACATAAACCAATAGCAAGTAGTAAGATTGGGAGACATTCCTGTTCAGCCATAGCATGGAAAGAAATTAGAACTTCTACCATCACTGATTCCATAGCTTGAGACTGCAGCATGTTTCCAAAACAACTTGGACTCCTTTGGGATGTGGGAGCCTTTGACTCTGTTGGGTAGACAACTGATATGGATCAAATTGGTGGCAACAGCTCATGATTCTACCCTTTTTTCTGGCTAGGCTGGACCTGGCACCTGCATCATTGGCTGTTGGTGGAGATCACAGTGCTGTGGTCAGATCTGTTTCTTGGCTGAGATTTCATAGAAGAAGACCAATCTGGTGAATTTTCACTGTACTAATTCCAAAAAAAAAAATCCAAAGAAAGTACCCTTCTCTGAAGTCAGATGCTCAGAACTGATGTATCCAGATAAGCTCCTGCCAGAGCTGTCCACTGTCATTCCAGCCATCTTCAGAAAAAAAGCAAATGTTCTTTTAGCCTTTTTTTAAAATAATTCTGGTATCTGTGTATTAGATTTAATTGATATAACCCCAGTTTCTGTATAGCCAAAATTTATTGTCCATAAATTGAATCTTGATTTTTATTTCTCTTATGTTACAGAGTCTTAGGATCTCTCCAGAATTTTGAAGAATTCAGCAATGCTTTTCATTGCACAAAGAATGAATACATGAATCCTGAAAAGAAATGCCGCGTTTGGTAGCCAAACTGTTCCTACTGTACTTTAAACTGTCTAGAATGTCTTCTTCCAGGATTTGTAAATGGATGAAATGCTGAGCTGGAATGAATCACTTTGTACTTTGTAAAAAGGATAAATCAATGCTCATTTTCTTTTTTTTTGCTGATACCTCATATCAATCAAATTACCCTAACTGCTATTGCCCAACAAATCATTTGGCAAAAAAAAACTGAATTGGTAAGTATTGCAACTGCATCATAAGTCTCAGTTATCGTAACCTCATGGTTTCAGTTACATGCAGTCCCAATGAGAAATGAAGAGACGTTCATTCAAAAGCAAACTGCTGCAGATGCTGGAAATCTGAAATAAAAACAGAATATGCTGGAAATACTGAGCAGTTCAGGGCAGCGTCTATGGAAAGAGAAACAGGGTTAAAATTTCAGGCTGATGATCTTTCATTAGAACATTGATTGAGCTTGTGAGCTGTGTGCAACTAACATAACTAAAACGGTTGACTTAAATAAGGTAATGTGGAAGGTAAAAGGAATGCAGTGATATGATCAGTGTTTTAACCTGCTTGGAGGTTGTGAATAACAGATAGCAGGACCACTTAGTAATTGATTAGCGGTGAACACAAAATGAACAAGTCTAAATTGATTTGAGTCTCTCCTAACAACTAGAAAAATCAATCAATTGCTGTGAGAATTTTTTTTATATATAGAAAAGAGGGAATTGTAGCATATTGAAAGGTAAAGGTATTAGCAGCATTGACATTAATGATTGGGAGGAGCTTGTTACCAACTGTTCAGCATGGTGACAACTTGCCCTGAAGCTGCATCACACTTTGAGTCACAATGTCTCACTGGTAAAGCAGAGAAAGAAAGAATAGGAAGTCAGATCCCACTACCTCATGGGACATCCTGCTCCATGTGCCAAAGATAAGCGGGTTAAGAATGAACTGCTCAGTCACCTAAAGACCCATGTAGGCTTAGACACTGACAGCGCTTGAGTAGCCATTATCTTTGTATTGAGGGATAGCAGACAATGGATTAATGAAATGCAGCTTCTGTTGTTAATGCGGGGAATTTGTCAATTTGTTCAAAACAAGCTCACATAAAAAGCAATGCAATAATTGCCAGCTAATCTGTTTTTTTTATTAATATTGGCATGGATTTAAAAGCATGGGTTATGAGAAACTACAATCAAATATTGAATAGAAAATACAGCATTTATTAACCCTGACTATTCTATATAAGTGAGACCACAGATATCCAATTGTAAGTCTATTGTTCCTGACACACATCTGTCCCCCTCATAGCAACAAAATAATATAAACATTCTGATAATAAGTCACAGCATTAGTATTTTGGCAGATATAACTACTTGATCTTTTGGATATTAGGCAGGAGATTAGAATCATGCACAACTATTGGGAACTTCATCCTAACAGTGAAACATCTTAAATGGTTGGAAGATTGATCATGGATCGTCTTTGCCCGCATTTCCAACCGATGAGGCCACCTAACAGACTGGAGATTTGTAAGTTCAGCCCTGTAATATGAAAGTATTTGATTTCAGCCCTTTGACTAGTATGAAACATTACTTTAAAAGTATCCTTTCAAAACTCTGAAATTAAAAATAGGGTGGCCTGGACAATATTTTGTGTTGTTGAGGGAGCTTACTGTTTATCATTGATCATGGATTCCCTTACATTCCAACAGTGACTGCACTTCAAAATACTCAATGAGCTGTAAAGTGCTTTTTCATGTCTTGGAATCGTAGCAAGCACTATAATAATGCAAGTCTTTCCTGTTGAATCCTTTGTTTGTTTACATTGTTCCCCCATTTAAACATTTGAGCAGAAACTGGGAAAGTGATTATTTGCAGTAAATAGTTGTTCTGGTTCAGGTATGCTAAGAAACCAGAATTTTCACTCCATTAAGAATTATTTTTTGCAAAAATTGCATGGTTCCTGCCACACATGATGAGTGTAAAATTATGGGCTTTCTCTTGGATATTGCTTCACAAGTCACAATCCTTTCCTGAAGTCATCCATTGACAAGCCAACCCTGTCTAACTTTTAAACTGAAAGCCCTCCAATATTTAAACATAAAATTTGCGTCTGAACAACTCTTCCCAACTCTCCTATAAAGTATGTGTATTTTGAATCAGTTCAAAGTGGCTGCACTGGCATGACTGACCAAGAGGTCAGTGGCTGTACTTGCCTGAGCAGAGTCAAATATTAATGCCCTGTCTCCCTTCAAATGATGATGCACTGTGGTACTTATTTCCAAACTGGTCCTACCTCCACTCTTGTATGTAACAACTGTAAGAACTGTAACAAATGTAACAACTGGCTGTTCTTCACAGACCATGGTATGAGAGTGAGTAACTCATTCTTTAATTCCAAAAAGCCTGTCGACCGCAAGTCAGGACTGAAATGGAATACTTCCCAAATTCCGTGGATGTGTACGGCTCCAAAGATATTCAGGAAGCTCACTACCATCCAGGATAAAACGGCCAACTTGATTGGCACCTGGTCCACTATCTTCACTCTCTCCAACACTGAGGCTCAGTAGCAGTGCTATGTGCCATCTATAAGATGCACTACTGCAATTCACCAAGGATCCTCAAATAGCACCTTCCAAACCCATGACCACTACCATCTAGAATGAGAAAGGCAGCAAATACATGGGAATACTACCTCCTGCAAATTCATCTCCAAACCACTCATCATCCTGACTTGGAAATGTATTGCCATTCCTTCAGTGTTGTTGGGTCAAAATCCTGGAACTCCCTGCTTTACAGCATTCTACTTACAGTTCAAGAAGGCAGCTCACCACCACCTTCGCAGGGGCATCTAGGGATGGGCAATAAAGGCTGGCACAGCCAGTGACACCCACATTCCATAGCTGAATAAGAAAAAAATGACTAACTAACCAAAATGTGAACAGAACAGAAATAAAAAAAAGCATAGAAAGAGAAGATATGTATCTGAAATTAAAAGAAAACTTGGAAAAAATGCAGCTGGTCAGTCTGTCTTTGTGAGAAAAAGATTCATTGAAAGCAATGGTGATTTTTAGATAAAGAGTTCTAACCCAAACATAAACTGCTCTATCTCTTTCAAATGCTAATCTATTTGCTGTGACTGTGTATCATTTTGTATTCATTTAAGAAATAATAGTATCATGGCTTTTCATTCAGCATGTTAACATAGCAAAGGTGAAACTCAGTATTTACAGGGGTTTTTTGTCAAAGCTGTGTGATATGCTGAATGCTTGTCCTTGCGCTAACACTGACATTGTGGGGATCTGAAGTATGGGTTTCAGAGCAGTAACTTGTCTAAATGTTTAACAAGCCAACAGCATGTTCCTTCCTGAATGGTGGTGGTGTAGATACTAGGTTAGTGCTTTAAATGAATAAGCATTTGCACTACAACAGCTAGATTATTATTTCTATTTCATGATTTGTTATTTGATTCATCTTCGGGCACAAGGAGGCATCTTCCCCTGCATCTACCACCTGCACACTTCACCAACAAGTAAACTTCTCAGGAGATATTCCAATGTATTCTGGATAAATTTTGGGAGGCTCCCTCACTGTCAGTGGAATTTTACCAGCAGGTCAAGAAAGCAGGGCCACATTTTGCCTGTAACTTTCCTCCAGTGATTTGAACAGACGGGAGATTTGCATTTAGGCCATTCTGCAATGCTTGACCAGCTGTGAGGCAGTTCATCATTGAAAGCAAATTGCATGCTGCTCAAAAAGAAAGAAAAATGTTTCTGGGTTTGTACCTCATTCATTCAAAAAAAATCAATTTTTTTTTAAAAGAAAGAAGCTATATAATTATGTCACAAACAACAATCATCCTTACAAAATGTTGATTTTATATGTTGAATTTAAATCGTTTAATGCTGTGTAAAAATAATCTCATTTTTTTCCCTTTTGGGAATCTGTTTCCAGGAATATGTACCTGATTTTCAAGTTCTTTTTTGATACTGTTTTGCTTTGTTATCTGGTCAGCATTGTTTTCCAGAAGTACTATAAATGAATGAGATAAAATACGCTAAACAATTTTTGACACATCTGAAAGATGTTCATCTTGGTACATAATAAAGTAGAACCAGTGCAAACCATAGTTATGAGCGTATTTAGTGCAATAGACTGCTCTTCAATGTTACCTTAAATTTACAACCGTCCATGTTTTTTTTAAAATCTTTGTATGGCCTTAACCATCCCTATCTAGCTTATCTCTGTCAGTGTCACAATATTCCAAGATGGCGCTTCTCCAATTCTGACCTCTTACATACACCAGATTTTCATTGCTGTATTTTTTATAGCCATGCTTTCATCTACCTAATCCCCAACCCATGGATTTCCATTCTGTACTGGGTTGAAGGTGCTATTTGAATGTAAATTGCTGTTATAGTTAGTCTCTTGAAGGTTGAAGAATGGGTATCAGCCAATTGGTTCTTTGCCGAACTAACTGTTGTTCACACATGCCAACCTATCTAATTAACATTGAGTTAAAGCCAAACCCAGTCCTTTCCACCATCTGCCGTGTAAACAAAGTACTTTTCATTGCGGCTCAACCGATGGAAAATGAGAAAGCAGGCATATTTCTCTTTTTAAATCTCTGTTTTCCACTTCTACTTCAAAGAATCTAATTGTACAGCTTTTGCTGGACATCAGGGAACCACTGTTGTTCTATATATGCTGAGCATTCTGCCACAAAGTGCAGGTAGGCACTGAGTAAGAGAGTATCACCCGGGCTGAGATTCTAATAATTGGCTCCATTCTACATAAGTGGGGAGAAGACAGATGTCCCAACCTGTACAAGCTGACCTTCAGCCCTGTTCAGTTCAACAGACCACTCCAAAATAGCTTCACTCTTCTGCAAATAGACATATTAATCACGTCACTTATTGACATTTTCCAATTCACCCAACATTTCTATCCCAGCTTGCTTTGCTGTTTTTCTAAGCCTTCTCCTGGCAGGTTGGCCCAATGGCATTATGAATTTGCAGCAATTCTCATTTTACCTGAATTTTGGCATTTTCCAGTGTTTATCGAGTGTGATGTCAAGCTGTTTCCTGGTGTGTTAATTTTCAATCTGAAAAATAATCTGGTTACCAGATCAAAGCAATGCACTTTTTTTCAATTCACAAATCATTGGAGAAAGTCAAGTGAGCACAAAGTCAATCTAAAGTCTAGTCAAGTGTTCCAGTGGACATTGTGGGTGTTGTACACGAAAGGACTTCTTTTGTGAAAACAAAAAAATGAAAAGTGTTCAGCTTATTTAGAAATAAGGCATTTTTGTAGGTATAATAAATTTAAAACTAAAACATTAAATATTAATGATTTTCTAGATTAAACATTTCTTATGAATGATATGTGGAGGACTAAAATGAATTCCTACTATATAATCAAATAACTGTTACTATATATGACACCAAAGATTTTCATATTTATTGTAACTATTGAGTACCTCTACAAGTACTTTTGGGTGTGTACAGTTGCTGTTCCAATTATTGATCTTTTCTAGCTTATATCCATTTTCAATTCTTAAGTTGCCCATTAATACTGGCAGTTGTTGCTCACCTTTAATTGCCCTTGGAAAGTTGGTGGTGAGCCACACCCAAAGGCAGCAACAGTTCAAGGAGGCAGCTCACCATCACCTTCACCAAGGCAATTAGGGTTGGGCAATGAATTATAAGACCATAAGACACAGGAGCTGAAATTAGCCCATTCAGCCCATCGAGTCTACTCCACCATTCAATCATGGCTGACAAAATTCTGGCCCAGCCAGTGATGCCATGTCCCATGACTGAAAAACAACAAAAGTAAACTTCTCGAACAGCTGCTGACCATCTTGCGTAGGTACACCTACAACACAGATGACGATCTAATTTTTGGATCTTGCTTAAGCTAGAAAAGATTAAAAATCATACTTTAAATATTCCCTTATTAATAATTTGCCTTAACTCTTTAACCTAGGGATTTACATAACAGTTTCATTTTTGTTCCTTGCTCATGGGCAAGGGCAGACTCTGGAGACATCTAACTTTGTTGTGAGGTAGTACATCTGAATGTATAAAATTGGGTGAGTGTAGTAGGAATTTGGACCACTGAATGTAAAATGGCGTAATTGCTAAGGCTTCACCTTTAGTTGAATCTGCATTTAACTATAATCTGACCTTGAAGTTCTGCAGCACAGTGAATTATGAGACACAGAGCACAAAGAAGGGGGTTGTTTACTGATGAACATGTGCGCTGGCAACTTCCAGAACCATTTGTGAAATAGTCCAAATCTTCTCATGCTATTTACAGAAGTTTCCTCAATAATTGCTGGCCAGTCCCTAAAAGGTAAATAACAGGCAGATCTATGGCCTACGGTGCAAGTTGTCACTCATGACCCAAAGTTACATCAGCTTTGTACATCAGCTTTGTTGATTGTTGTTTGAAAGGAGACATTCCAGGCTGTTTAAAGGTACATGTTACTGTACCAGTAGGATCTAGTTTAGACAAGTGACCAAGACACCTGAAGGACCATTGAAATTTTTTGTATAAAATGTTATGGTAATCAACCACCTTGAAGTAGCTGCTGATAGGAATTGGGCAGAAATGCAACCCTAATAAATTCATGTATATGTGTGAAAACAAATGAAATCATTAGCTCTGGCCCTACAATGAGATGACAAACCAGTTTTCCCAGAGTCCTGGCACCAGCAATTTCTGCCACTGCGGGATAGGCTATGGATAGCATCCTACACCAATTCAGCTGGTTACATTGCAGGGGAAGGGAACTCACCCCCATTGCCCTACAGTTTTTGTGGAGTTGAGTCACCCTCCCAAGGGCACATGGTCACAGCCCTTCAGAGGAGTGAACCATTGTCAGGATTTGGGAGTCAATTAAGAAAGATGTAACAGTACAGTAAAGCTCATTTTGATACAATAAAGGCTTTGCTCAATTGACACTTTTATAGGATTATAAGAACAATAATTGATTTCAAAGCAGTTTTTTTTAATAGGTTTAAAAAATACGTTTCAAGATTTGCTATTGTTATATGGCGCACTGGTTCTATAGTGAGTATATGGTGAGTAAGCATGGAAGATGGGGGTTGTGGATGAAGGATGGGCATCCAGGTCCCACATGTCTGGACTAAAACAATGCTTGCAAGCACAATTTCTACGGAAACAGGTCTCCTGAGTCAGGAATGTTGCCCACTTCAGGATCCTGCTTCAATGGCAAAGCCATTGCCTACCATCTTTCCTTTCAGAAGTTTTGGCAAATATTGTTGGGGCATTTGCTCAGAGTGGCATGAAAAGCATGTTTTCAAGTTTCTAAATAAATGCACATTGAGGACAGAAATTGCTTGCTTCCAAATACATTGCTTAGTTTCTAAAGAGCCCAAAGAATATTGGCCATTTAATTTGAGATCATTATTTCAATGTTTTTATAATACCAGGCGTTTTATGTTAACATTAATTTAAATTTCATTCTCTTGTGAGATTGCTCTCATTTGAGGATTAGAGGTCTCTGTGGTTTTTGAACAAAAAATGGGGAAGGGGGGGTATTGCTGCCTGAGGTTAAAGAGT